TTTTTTTCAGTACCAGGCATTGAACTCAGGACTTTGCACTTGCCAGGCAGGCACTTATTCTACTGAGTTATCTCCCCAGCCCACATTACTATTTCTTACCTCAATCATATACCAATATATGGCATTGAAATGGAACTTGCAAAAGTAAAGAGAAATTCAATTATTTATGTGAGTACTCTTTTTCCCAGAAAAGTAAAAGCTCAAATTAATTTATATGCATGTCAGAGTCATGGATTACCTTTCTTGTCCTAAAGGTATTTGTGCCATCTGAGCGCAGTCCTATGAAGAGGGAATTACTATAAACTGAGACTTATTCCAGTGAGGACATTGCCTTTTGGTCCTGTATGAGACTGAAAGATATTTAGGGTTATTGAAGAGGATGTGACCATCTTACTACCTCAAGCACCTTGATGTAGCTCAGAACTAAAGAACTTAAAAACTGGATGAAAAATGATTTTTTTCATTTATGTATTTGTAGGGTCTCACTACATAGCTCAGACTTGTAGCGATCCTCCTGTTTTCGACATCCCCAGCACTGGGATTACCAACAAGCACCACCATACCTAGATTCAGTCCCTAACTCAGTGTGCCCACGGGTGGGGACGGGTTGACATTTGGGACCAGGGATTGAACACTGGTCCCTGTGCTTGCCAAAACAGGAGCTTAGTCTGATGAACTATCTCACCAGCCTGGAAATGATTTTAACTCTATAGGTGAGCATCAAAACATTAAACCAAATATTGTTCTTTCTAATTTGACCTTTTATGTCTTTCTCCAGAACATTGCCTGAGTATTCTGTCCTCCAAAAATTACATCTATTTCATCAAGAGATATTTCTATCATGATTTATTGCCACAATAATGTATTATAAATCCTATTTTTATGCTCATTAAAATGATGGTTTATATGTACTCAGAAGTACAATTGGAAGAATTTGTGAGTCTATGCCATTTACTTCAATACTGTTATAGACTTAAGGTTGATGTGAGTGAGCTATTTACAGATTGTTTTATTCGTCCATTACATATTGAGAACCTCATGTATGTTATAGGCATCACTTTGTCTCCTGGATACAGTTGTTAATAAAAGCCTCAGAAGGGCTGGCAAAATAGCTCAGTGGACTAAGTGCCTGCTGAGGCAAGCATGGGGACCAAGTACCACATGCCACACTGGCCCAGCCCCAGGCGCTCTGAGCAGCCCAATGAGACTGGGTGTGGTGGCACATACCTGTAATCCTAGCACTGGGGAGCCTGAGACAAGGGAATCACTGTGAGTCTGAGCTGCATAGTGAGACCCTGTATCAGAATACATTTTTTTAAAAAAAAGCATCAGAAATCTGTCTTCCTGGAGCTTCCAATCAAGTGGGATGAAATGTAGATAATTAATATGCAAACTGTCTATATTAAAATTTGATGGACGTTTTAGAGACCAAAAAATGAAGTGGATAGGGACACAGAGAATTTAAAGTTTGGACAGACTTAAGAAGGCAATTAGCTTGCCTCGTAATTACCTTGGTGCAAAACATTTTAGGTAAGAGGAACAACAGGTGCAAAGATGAGAACCCACCTCACAGGGATAGAGAAAGCTGGTAAGGAGACGGTGGAGATTCACTGAGCAGATTGCACAAGAGAGAAGGCAGTGTGAAATGAGCTCAGAGAAGACAAAATTCTCGGACATAAACAGCAGACATTGCGGGGCCTAGTAGGTCAACCCAAACATCTGGCTTTTATGCTGTATGAAACAGGAGGTTTGGGGGCTGAGTGCCACTGAGTCTTTTGAGTAAACAGACAACATTACTTTACTTATACTTTAAAAGGATTGTGCTTTCTGTTGTACTGTCAAGAGATTATAAAGGACCCTGACAGGGAGAGAAGACTCCAGTTTGCAGGTTATTTTAATATTAATAATTTTTCATATATTACTTATAAGAAAAGTATTTATGATTTATACATAATCATAACAGTTGGTCACATGGGGACTCTCAAAGATTCATCTATATTTTAATCCGTACAATCTGTGAGTTTGACCTTAGTTGGAAAAACAGGTGTCGGTAGATGTAATTAAATTAAGGAACCTGAGATAAAATTACCCTACATTTTTGAGGTAGGATCTCAATCTATGACAAGGATCTTCATCAGAGGGAGACACACAGAGGAAATAAACAACACAAAAGAAGCCGGGGGAAGACAGGCAGATTCTAGAACGACACTGCCACACAAGGACTCTGGCATTTACCAGAAGCTGGAAACAGAGAATTTGCCTTTCACTGCTCTATGGAGAGTGGTAACACAACACTTTGTTTCAGATTTTGGTTTTTAGAACTTAAAATAAATGGCTTCTAGATTAAATGTCTGTTTCAATCCTCTCATAGAAACTAAGAGAAGCACAAAAAAAATTATACATCATCCAAAGATGAAGTTCTTAATGGGAAGATTCCATATATTTAGTTTTGGAACGTGTAGGATTTTAATAGTTCAAACACCCCCACTTAGCACAGTATAACACACTTATTTTTTTGCTGTGCACACAAAAGAATAGGCAAATTCCTATTAAAGTGGATCATGTCATAGTTTAACTCCTAACACAGAAAATAAGACATTAAACTTTACAGGAATTAGGCTCTCTCTCTTTTTCACCTGTTCTACTCATTGTGGTAAACTATCCATAATACAAAATCTATTTTGTGACAACTTAAAGTATAGAATTTGGAGATATTTAAATACTTCCCATTATTATGAGACCATCTCATCCACTGGCAGAACAGAACTTTTTCACCATCTCTAGCTGTGTAGTTCATTGTACACCTGCTCGGGGATCCAAGGGAGATTTTTGTGGGTGAGGTTCCAAGGCTAAAGAACAAGTGTGTACAAGGATCAGCAACAACAGCAGGTGGCCAGGAGCAGAGTGGAGCAGAAAGCCACCCACATCTTTATTGTATACTTTCTTCTTTTAATTT